ATGATTAACAATGTTTGCGTCCGCTTTCTAAGCTCGTTTTAATTTTAAACTATTACATTTTTAGTTTTAGTTCTGGTCAGATCACATCCACATTGAGGTAATTAAGATAAAATCTACTTACTTGTGAAATGAGATATTTTCCTCCTTCTGTTTTGTTGGCACACACAGCTTTCTGACATCTTTATAGACATTTGATAGTTTACAAACACTAAAATATTAATAATATTTTTGTTAACATTATCATTAATAGCTTTTACAGTTTTTTACATAATCCGCCCTTATTGTTCGCTGTTTTGTCAACATGTACAGTAATGCTAAATCCAGAGACTTGCCACGCTAATGGTCGCTACAATAGATCACAAAGTCACATGACCAAAGCAGCTGTTATTGTAACCTTGACTGAGATAAACGTTTGTACAGATGTTYGTGTCCTTTAAGATTAAACATAGGTGGTAACTGGGGTGGCAATATGTTTTTGTTTTTTGTTTACAGTGGCAGCTGCCCCCCTTTGCTACCCTCTAGAACCACCACTGTCAAAGAACACTAAATCCATATTTTACATCATAATAACTGTTWATCAACATTAAACACTGTCAAGACCTTTCATAGATCATAAGATGAGATTGTTTACATGCCAAGTAGAAGGACATCTAGAAATTTATTGGACTTGTATGTGAGGGGMAAGATTATTGCAACTGCCACAATAAACAGTAAATATTGTTGAGACAAAACGACGCATATTAGGACCTGTTTGTCACTTTATCAAACCCCAGGCAGGATGAAATACATTTTTTAATTTAAAACCTCCTATTGGCATTTTCACATTCTTACGAACTGCACATCGGAGAATTATAAAAAWAAAAMAAAACAAACAGGACAGCACAGAATGAGAGATGGAGGACGTTATCAGAATGGTCGTAAATGTTGAACGCTTCGGTACGTGGGTGCTGCTTCAACAGCGTTTTCATGAGTCTTTATTAAAAACCATTATTGTGTGTGTGTTTTATTTAAATTAAATTAGATCTGAATTAGTTTAGGGTCTCTGTAGACGATAACATCGAGCACTTCTGAGTGAGTCCTCTGATGAGTCAGCTGTGACCACGGCCTGAGCTGCAGGTGTGCCTCACTCCCCGGGGTTCAGACGACCTTAAACGCTGTTGTGTTTGCAGAAACCACAAAGCAAGGCCAAGCAAATCCCCCTCCACTCCACCTCCTTTTGCTGGTTGGTGTATCCTTGTTAGATGACTGTGCGTGTCGGCGCCAGTCGTGCTGTCACCCTCCCTCCTGCGTCTCGGGACAGGAAGAGACATGTTCTCCGAGTCCCCCCAGGGAGTCATCGAGGGAGTCGGAGGCTAACATTCATCAGGCTGTTGATTGGTGTTTGTCCCCTTCTGACCCTGAATCGGAGCACGTTTGTTTTTCTACAGACTTGAATATCTTGTCTAAGAGGGGAAAAAGCTGTTGTGATGACCTAAATTTGAGGGGGTTTCAAGCTTCATTCTGGGGCTAAAAGAGGAAAGGGAGGGGCTTTGGAGGAAATAATTACTCGTATCAAACCAGGAGGAAGTCGTTGGAGCAGAGGTCTGCCCCAGTGGGTATTAGCCCCTTCAGAGGAACAACTTCCCTACATCCGGTTTACAGTGGAGGCAAAGGGATCCATGCAGGCTATCAGGATAATTACATACACTGAAACTGTTCAACAAATAAAAAACAAAACTAAGTGTTCTGCTCATTTAAATTACAAACTGCTTCCTTAGTTTTTGCTTATAATTTCAACAGATAAATAGCACCTAAATAATATAAACACTTTAAAAACATTGTTTCTTTACTGTGTCTGCTTTTTATAAAACTAATTTCCTTAGAAAATTAATTGTTCACCAAAATAAATCATCTGAACCAACATTCAAAGTCCTGAAACTGAATTTAATTCACCATCACTGTACAAGGAGTGGAGGGACTTTTATTAGCTACAGTTCAGTCATAACTATATTTTCCATCTTCTTTWAAAAACAAAATCTTACATCATTTGCACTAATCAGCTAATAGCGGAACTAATTTTTTGTTTAGCAAATGAGCTTTTTTACAACTCTGTTAGCAGACCAATTAGCTTCTGCTAATGCCAACTTTAGGAATGCTAACAGCTACCTAACAAACAAACATCAACAGGTTTGTGTTGTCCCACCAGCCATCAGCTCCGAAGAGAAGGGTATGTGTGACGTAAACTCATTGACAGTCGTGTTAGAGATTAGCTGTTAGTGTTAGCCTCTGCTAATGTTGACTTGTTTAGCTAATTAGTATTAGTTTCGGCATATTAAAATTTTATTTTTTTTACGTTTAGTGCTTTAGATTTAGCAAGTTATGAGTTAGCGAAGYTATATTTTTAGTTAGCAGATTGTAAGTTAGCAAAGCTAACTCTTTATAGCTGTGCCTACCGTTGATCACTTGGATTTATGATAACTAATTATTTTWAAAAACACACCCCAAACTGTGGGTTCGTTGTATTACATCAGTGGAAACWATAAAAGATCAAAGAATATTTGTTAATAATTATTTCTACAATTAAAATTTAGCTCCAGTCTGAGTCTTTAAAGCGTATTCCCACAGTAACTCATACTGCCTCAGTAATGCTACCGTAGTAAAGCTCAGTGATGCTAAATTTTCACAGAATTTGTTTGAACTATACCAGATACCCCAGCGTTTTGCTTTGTAAACACATTCCCTTGTTTTTGGTTTGGTTTTTGGTCCTTTAGTTGCCTGGTCACCGTTACTTCACCATCTCAAGTTGAGCCGTCACAACAGTATTTCTTGTTGGTGCAATTTCAATTTAACTGAGCTGARCACTTGTGAAACGCCATCATTCATTTTTAGCTGCAACAGCAAGAATGAAGTCAGACAGAAGTGACAGGATATTCTGTCAGATGTTGAAAATTATTCACAATAAAATAAAAAATAATGCTTGTGAATCTCTATGAGTGGGAAAGACTGCTGAAACTTTCTGATGAAGGTAAAACTGAGCTTAAAAAAAAAAAAAAATCAAACAAGCAGAACACCAAAAGCTAAAAAGAGTCCGAACTAGCAAATGTTAAAACATAGTTCAGAGCTAAAAGTAGTGAAGTCCCAGCTAAAAGATGCAGGACTATAGCTCAGTGCTAAAAGTAGCCAAAGACTAATAAAAAGATAGCTAAAMGCTAAAAATAACAAAAGTTAAAAGCTAAAAGTATCAAAAGGCTAGCTAAAACTAGTTACAGTAAAGTGCTGAAGGTAACATCAAAAGACATAAGAACGGCAGGTTTGCTTGATCAGATTTCAAAGTACTTGTGTATTTAATATATCTAAATTTAGTTAAAATTGACAAACAACACAAAGTGATGATACTAATCAACTAAAGAGCTGAATGTCCTGAAGTATGACTGGCCAAAAAAGAACAAAATGTCTACAAGTAGTTAGTTTGCAACAAATATGCAGAAAACTGAGAAACAGGAAACAAGTGTTTACTTTGAATCATCACTAATTATAAATGCTGAATGTTTATGTTTCAGAATRAGAGAGTTTAATGCCTCTGCACAGCTGAGGGAGTTCTGTGGTGGGTCAGTGGTTGTCCTATCATCTGACTAACTGAGATCACTCACAGTCAGAGTATGTGCCTTGTCTTGAGGGAAAACCGAACAGCTGAAAACAAGCTTGTTTTCGGCTTTTTAGCTATGACTGATGATGAGAGAACTGTTCTAAAAACTAAACTTAACGCAAGTTCAAACAAAGAGCTTCAGACTTGTGTCATAACACCCCTTGATACTCAACATCTTTTTTTTTTTTTTTTTCTGAACATTTGTAAAGCTGAAATATGGTAGATGTTGATCCTCTGGAACAGAGCGAGACAACCTTACAGTGGACATTAATGCCTACTGAACTGCAGGGGAAGGTAATCCAGATTTTCCATCTGACAAGACATGGTGGGGGGTGTGAACTCATATCATGTGGACTTGTGTGTGTGTGACCCTGTGTGAAACAAATGTGTGTCTGGCTCCCTGCCCTGAGGAGGTTTTGGCCAATAGCCTGACAAAACCAATGACTCCTGTGCAACTCCCATTGAAGGAGATCTCTGGACCAGCTGGGGTCCTATCTAATAAGGAAGTGGGACTTTATTCCACCATCCCCTGCTGACAGATAGACACACAAACATACACAGACATTCAGAGCAGCTACATCATGACATGGGGTCTCAGGAGCTAGCAGCTGGCTAGCTTCAACCAGGCCTGWAGGGTTTGTCTCGAATTATAGAGGCACCAGACTGGGGTCTGTTTTTATGGTCAAGCAGCAGAAACTAGAGGTCTTCAAGAACCACTTGATAGTGTTTGCAAACTTTACTTTTACTTGGGGTGTAACGTTACCCCTACGCCATTGTTCGGACATTAAATCCTTAAAACATTATTCTCTTTGAAATCTGCTTCAACATTCTTGCTTTATTTTTTCTTTTCTTATGCTACCTATTTAGCTACGGTTATAGTACTTTTAGCCAGTGGTGGCACAGCAACAAAAATGTTTGCTTTGCTAACTCGTGATCTGCAAACGCTAAACTGTGAAGCATGTAAAATTAGATTGGAAGAAGTTTACACTAAATAGCTAAACAAGTGAAAATTATTGGAAGCTAACAGCTTATCGCTAACCGTTAAAACGACTGCGTTACACGTCTTCGTCTMCTTCTAGCTGAAGACTGGTGGGACTGACACAAACACCATGATGTTAGTTAGCCGTTAGCTGACTTAAAGTTTACAAAACCTAATTTAGTAGAAACTAATTCGTCTGCTAACGTTTTTCCAGTTAGTGAAAAGGCTAATCCGCTTAAGAAAAAACTTGTTCCAACATTACCGTTAGCTAATTAGCGGAACCATGCCCACAACTGTGTTTTGCTACATTTAGCTTTTAGCTAGTATTTTAAGGATTTAGATAGAATTTTGCTACCTTTAGATTTTAGTCTGTTGTAGGGTTGGGCATAATCATATCGTGTGCAATTAATCGTCAGAAAAACATTAATCGATTAATTTTTGGCACTTGACGATTAATGCCACCCGGCAGACCAACCGCTTGGTGTTCCTCTCTGATTCAAATATGACCAACATAAAAAAAAAATTGTGTATTTTATTTATCTATCAACACAATTTAAAATTTGATGTATAGCCTGAAGTCTGTAATTTTGACACAATTTGGAACAGATTTTTTACGAAGAGCCTATTTTCTCCCTATAAATTGGTCATGTGACCAGGATATAAGGGTGTCCAGGGACTCTGGGGGATTAATCTTCAAATTAATCGTTATCGGCTAAATACCACAATTAATCGTGATTAATTTTTTTGCCAATATTGCCCAACCCTAGTCTGTTGTTACATTTAACTTATAGCTAGCCTTTCACAACATTTAATTTTTAGCTATTATTTTGCTACATTTAGCTAGCATTTTGCTCCTTTTAGCCAGTGTTTTTTTTAATTTAAGCTAGTGTTTTTTAGCTTTAAGTTAGTGTTTTGATCCTTTTTAGTTTGTGTTTAGCTTTTAGCTAGTATTTTGGTATTTTAAGGTTTTTGATTTAGAATGTTGCTGCCTTTAGTTTTTAGTCAATTGCTACATTTAACTCATAGCTAGCCTTTCACCACTTTTAATTTTTAGCTAGTATTTGCTACATTTAGCTAGTATTTTGCTCCTTTAGCTTGTGTTTTTCTTCAATAAGCTTTAACAAGCTTTTTGCTCCTTTTAACATAAAGCTAGTGTTTTGCCTTTTTTTTTAGCTTTAAGTTAAAATTTTGCTCCTTTTAGCTTGTTTATCTCAGCTTCATTAACAAATTTCAGCTGCCATTTTGCACTCAGGTGATCTTAAGTTCTTTTTAYTGACAAGCATTTCATGATTACGGTGCGCAAATCTGTGCTTAACAAATGATTTATCAGATCTTCTGCTCYACTATCTCAGCTCACAGCAGTGATCGGTGATAACGAATGGGAACATTTGCAACCTGAAACTGAACTGAAAAAATAAAAACAGAAACATCAGAGCTCCCCCCCCACATTCTCAAACACCGCCTGTTTACTTATCTCACGTTATGCGCCCAGCGCAAGTTACTGGATGTAACACATTAAGCCTGCAGTTCACCAAACCTGTCCTTAATCCACTCAGACGTGTTCAATGATCAGCCCAATCTTTAACCTGAGCGTCTCAGGCAGAGCAAATAAGGTGATCTGGAAGCATGCGTCGCATCAGCTTAGCCAAGCGGCTGTATAATGCATCGATTACCTCATCCCTGATTGAACGTGCAATGGGGCGTGAGCTAGTCCGGGGCGTGCTTCTCTAAGAGGAAACAATTTCCAAGTCGCCTCTCTTGCCTGCAACAGTCTGTCAGTCTCCTCTTCTTTCTCTTGGAGTCACTTTTGGTTTACTAATTGCTTATTGTTCCAAAAAGTCCCCCCTTTTGTTCTCCTCCAAACTTGAGTTACTACAGCCTTTGAGAGATGTCTATTTTTACATTCAGTAGAGGAGGGGGATGCAACTCCTGACCTTTCTTTACAGTCTGCTGGTGCTGGGATGGTGTGTCTGGTTATGGATGAGATACAGTAGTTGTGGTGCCTGTTTTATAACAAAACTGGACACCATAAAACCAAATTATCTGTCAAAATTAGGTCATCCAGTGCAATATTGCTTGTCAAAATTTAAAAAAAAAGGTAATCTCAGATCTGTTAGTGGTCACAGTAGCTGCGTTTCCATTGACCATGAAAATGCAGAAATTAGAATTTCAAAAATAAAATTGCTTAATGGAAACACGTCAATTAAAAAAAAWTTTTTTTTCGACAAAATGGTTTTGCACTAGGATGAGGTGGTTTTTCGTCCGTATCAAAATTGGTGTATTTTGCAAAACTGCAATGGAAACACTTTTTCGCATCACGGGAGTCACGTGATCAAGAACTGGCTGTTTCTACTGGCAAAAAAGACGGTGAAGAAGATAACAGGAAGTAAAAGTAGCAGTAAAATCATCGAAGTAGTAAAAGAAAGTATTAAACTCACCGACTACAATTTCCCAAAAACACCGCATACGTAGCCACTCCCAAGTATAAGGAACTTGTCACTGGAAAGCCTCGATAAAAGACGCTGACGTCTCCTCTGATGATGAGCGCTAGTGTCATGGTAGCAACATGCTATGTGTTTACATCCATGACCGCCATGTTTGTAATGACTTACCACAAGAACAAACATATTCACGCGTGACTTTAATTGCATTTCTTACTTAATGGAAACACCCCAGTTGCAAAACTGTGTTTTTCGACATTAACCGAATATCAACAAAGTTTTACGCACATTTGCAGTGGAAACGCAGCTACTGTGTGTTAGGGATGACTCTCAGCTACTACCATACCAAATTTGATGTCAATACTTGTAAAGCTGACCAAGTTAAAGACATTTTCTTTGTATTTGATAAGATCGTGAGGTTGTGGGAACCATCTTGATCAGGTCGATTCCTATTCATATCTGAGAGTTTCATTAAAAATTTGTCAGTGGTTTGTGAGAAATCAAATCAAATGTAGACACAGACACATAGGCAGTTAGATTTCCCACCTTTCTTGGATCTAAGATTAATTTTTTTCATGTCGTTTCAGGCTCCTGATGTGTGATGGTGGCCGTGGCCGGCTGTGACGGACGCTGCTTATTGCCTCTTGTTATAATAAAAAAATCAAGGAGGGTGGGACCAATCGGACTCCAGACCCCGGAGCAGCGCGCCGTCGGTGAGTTTCTGGCTCCGACTTGATCCAAACAGACGTGGACAGGAGGTGGAGATCTCACCCCCAGCCACCGAAGCAGTTTGCTTCTCACCTGTCACACAGTGTCTCTGTTAAAGTTTGGTTTTTATTTTTGTCAGAAATAGAGAAATGGTCACACTTCCAAAGACATTAACACAACCACCAAGCTGTATTGACACTCTGTTGTCTTGTATGTCAGCGTGTTTTAGCTTTCTGCAAAACAAATGTTTTTAAAACCTATTAGTAGATTTTTTGTGGGATGAAAGTGAGGAATCGCCTCAGCGTCTGAGGAGCTTGTCAGAATCTGAGGACGTTAAAGTTTCACCCGCCAAGGTTTAGACCGAGATCATCTTGTAATGAATATGTTAGTAAAATATTTCATGAACCACAGGACCGATTTTAATCAGTGACATGTAACATCGCCAATACTAGTCCCGAGATGTGTGGTCTCTGCTTGTTTCTACCTCTACTTCCTGTTTATTACAGCCATATGTAACGTCAACATCTGATATAATTACACTTTAAATATCCTGGTTGATCCGCTCCAAACCAGTAGATAGAAACACACCTAATTTATTTATTTATTTATTTTTTGTCTTTTTTGCAACATTTTAAAAGTTCACTCAAAATTTGCATTACAATTGAATGGAAACATGGCTACTGATTTTCGGCTATGACTATACCAAAAGTTTAGCTYATTATCTGTAAAACTGGCTGAGTTTTAGCCACTTTTATGTTGCAGAACATTATTCTTTTGTGGCGACCCTCTTGCAAAAGTTAATCAGCTGTAGACGTTCATCCAGTCATTACTTCCTGAAAGTTTGATTAAAATCTGTCCTGTGGGTCATGAGATATTTTGCTAACAGGGTTGACTGTAAAAGTTATTGCTTAAGTTTTAAATAAAATTTTATCCACTGAGTAGCTCTTAGAGCATGTGTTGTATATTACTCTCAGCTACTACTAAGTTTAGCTAAATACCTATAAAAGTGATTGAAATGTACCCATTTATAGGTTTATGTTAATGGCAAAAATTTAGGCAAAGAGCTTGGGTACCTAGTAGTACTAAAGATATATGTGGGGGAGGACTCAGCTACTACCACACCAGATTTTATTTCATTATTTGTTTAATTGACCGAGCTGAAGACATTTATATGTTGCCTAATGTTGATTAGCTGTGGTGGTCCTTTTGAATTGGGGTGACTCTAAAAGTAKGGGTGTCCCCATTAAACCAAGTACGAGTACTTCAGTTTTGGTACTCAAGTATTGATACCGAACAACATTACACAATGGCTTTAGCGCATTTATTTAGAACTCGAGTTTCGGTGTATTGTTTCCGAGTTCTTGTAAAAATGCTCGTAACGTGTATCRGTACACCACTATCCAAAAGCTAATCAGTTGTAGATGTAGATCAATTCATTACTCTGTATATTTCATTCAAATTTCTCCTGTAAATCATGAGATATTTTGCTAACAGACACACAGAAGCGGCTTGTTATCAGCTTTTGACAACGGCTTGTAAAGAGAAACAAGTGCAGCGTCTTCCTTTGTTTCATGGCTTTGAGAGTCTGTGTGCCACAGTTCTGCTTGATCCCTTGTGTTTTCATTAGCGTCTAAGTTTCATGTGACCATGACAACCTCCCTTTTATTTTATTTTTATTTTTTTCTCTCTCTCTCTTTCTCCCCCCTCCTCAGGCAGCAGCAGCAGCCTTTATGGGCTTCAGGACACACTAGACCCCAGCCTYCATCACACATCAATCCTTTCCCCAAAGTCTTTGCAATTTTTATTTTTATTTTTTATATATACTTTTACTTACTCAAGCTTTTACAGCCGGTGCTTTGGCGACACTTCTCCTGTGACACAAACCTGATGACGGAGTCTGCTTCGCTTACCGACCCACCGTGTCACCTCTTTCAACCCGAGCGGATCTCCGGCTTTGCAAAATGTGCACGAACAGACTTCAGCGAGTCGTTTTGCAAAGCTAAGACTCAAGGAAGTGTGGCTAAAGTACTATTGAGTTATGTTATAATAAAAATAATTAATATTATTCTGTATATCATTCATATCAATGTTATTATAATAAATACATGTCCAAGCATGACTTTACAAAAAAAAAAAGAAAAAAAATAGAAACAATGCTGTAAATTTTTTGATATTTTAATGAAATACAAAAAAAAAAGAAGTATTTTTGTAATCAAGACACACGTTGAGATGTTTTGATTGATTTGTTCCTGCGGAGGATTTTTCAGATTCTTTGTCGTTTTGTGCCATGAAGAAAAAAGAAAAAGAAGAAAAGCGTCACCCTGCCATACCAAAGCGGTCCTGTCACTTTCTGTCTTTTTTTGATACTCGACGGCGTGGATTTTGATTTGTTCGTGCGTAGCTTTTTATGTGATTTTATTTAAATAAAATTATAATCCTTTTGTCTGCTTAGACCATGCAGGAAACGTTGGCATCCATTTAGCTTTTTATTTTATTTTTTTGCAGCGATCTGACGTGTTAAAAAGGCAGGGATAAACCCATCGTCGGTGTAGGTAAAGTGACCCCAGAGGCGGCGATACATTTCAAACTGACTCCTGCTATTAATAGGAGTTTGTGAACAGAGGAAAAACAAAAAGACCAAAGTTGTTTAAACTATTATTAATTTTTTTTAACACTGGAGAGCAAGAATTATTCCATTTCTGACTGCTTTGTAGTCCTCAGTCTGATTTCTTGTGGTGTGACAACGTTATTGCTGCATGTCCCTTCTGGTGTCACTCCAAAGAGCCCTTCTACATAAAAAATAAAAAAGCAATTTTTCTCCTTTGTCTATTTTTAGAAATCCTGTGTGATTCAACCTGCTTTTGTAAAGTTTGAATTTACATATAAGGAAAAAAAAAAAAAAACGCTCTTTTTGTAACCGGGTGTCTTTTTTGGGTCTGCAATAACATCCTGCTGTACGACATATCACCAAGTGATCATATTTCTGTGACATTTTGATGCCAAAATGATCATTCTTGTACTTCTCTGATTTATGTAGCTCTCTGATAAAGTCATGTTTTGTATTAACATGACAAGTTAAAAAAAATTTAAGTGCTGTAAGACAATAAAAAATAAACATTATTCCCTGTAATGTTAATTGCGGGTGTGTGAAATCCTCTCGGACTGATTGAATCATATACATTAGTGTCTTTTAAGTGTTGAATAATAATATGCTTCATATAAAGATGTACTGTATCAGCTGGTTTAATAAAAAAAATATTTTTTCTTTTACAATTTTATGCCAAATGTGGCGCCAAAATTTATTAGAACAAGTATTTATAGAAAATGTGTGAGTGTTTGTGTTTTAAAAGAGGGATTTTTTTTAAAGTTCATAGAAATTTCCTGTTGTATAACTCTTTGTAAGTATTAATTGTATTTTATTTTTTAAGCTTTGGTTTGTGGCTGTCCGATCGGATCAGTCTGTGATATGTGAATGCTGTTAGAATTCACTGTGAAATTCAGAAAGGAAGATGTTTCTTGAACAAAAGGGTCTTTTTTTCATGCTTCCCCCTCTCAACATTACATGTATGGTACAAAAGTTCTTGGAAAATCGATAGGATGATCCCTCCTCTTGTCAACRAAAGATATTCCTTTACTCGAGTCGGTTCATTGTGTTAACTGTGTGTTGTGCATGTTCATGGCATGTTTGTTTCTTTTCCTAATGCATACAGTACTGGTGATATATCTGTACTTTAGCCGCTGTAAAGAGAAAGTGTATTTCAATCAATCGTAGACCTTTTTTGTTGATTTGAAACAACAAAAAAAAAATGCTGATTGAATTGATAAGTTTTTATGAAAATGTTGAATGAAGACATTTCAGTCCATCTGCCATTAAAGATTGACATTATAGGCGGTGGTGTGGTTATGTTTTATTTATAAAATTTTTATCCATCTGGAAAGAACAAGCTTAAAATGTGTACATACATAGGGATTGGGAAACATGTTCCAGAGAACATAGGTACCAGGGAACCTTTGAGCCTGGGAACATAGGGACTGGGAAACATGTTCCAGGGAACACAGGTACCAGGGAATATTTGTGCAGGGGAACATAGGTGCCAAGAAATGTAGGTATCAGGGAACCTTTGTACCGGGGAACATACCAGTGGACCTTTGTGCTGGGGAACACAGGTACCAGGGAACCTTTGTGCTGGGAACATAGGTACCAAGGAACTTTTTGTTTGTTTTTTTTATAGCCACTTCAGTAGCAAACAGAACTGAATGTTAGTTTCTTCATCATCAGTGACTTTTTTAATAAAAGAGAAAAGGAAAAAGGAGAAATGTAATGGGGAAGATTGAAAGAGATTAGATATGCGAAATATAAACCAAGACAACACACTCAACGTCTGCACACCTGTAAAAATGGAGAAAACAAAAACAGCAACAAATAATGTGTATATCATATTATAACTTTGCTGAARATATACATAAATACATATACCCATACATACATATATAGTTATACATATATACATATCCACATCCATACTTACATACACCCTCAATGACCGTCAGAAACCCCAGAATCGTTCRTCAGCTGCGGACATGAAAGCGCCTGCTGTGAAACGGGAGGAAAGGAAAGCGGAAAAGTTCAAAACTTATTTCTAGCCGCAGAACAGGGTGGAAGATGGCTGTTTCATGTTATTGTTTTTAAATCATCCTACGGGCTCTGACATGTTAGATAAATTTGAAAATGAGGTTTTGAAAAAAAATCCGTAAGACTTGAAAAAAATCCGTGAGATTGCTCTATACGTCCGTATACCTGCAAAATGACGTAAAATCCTTATAACTTACGGACAATCCGTACAAGTTGACATGTATGGACACCGGCGAGCTCACAGGCCCCGCCGAGCAGGAGCAGATCCAGGCATAGACACAGAGGCCCAGGTCCCCAGGGCGCACCACCCCCAGGCCAAGGCCCGATAGGGCCGGATGACCTAGGCCCCACCAGGCAGCCACTGGGCTGAGCCGGCACACACCCAAGGGCCCAGCCCCAGACACCGAGGGCCACCAGCCCACCAGCAGGCAGAGGCACAGCCCACCAGAGGGCAGAATGGCAGGGAACCAGAGAACGTTTGTGCCAGGGAACATAGGTACCCATGAAACTTTGTGCTGGAGAACATAGTTACCAATGAAACTTTGTGCTGGGAAACACAGGTACCAGGGAACATTTGTGCTGGGGAACGTAGGTACCAGGGAACCTTTGTGCCGGGAACATATACCATGGAACATTTGTGCTGGGGAACATAGGTACCAGGGAACCTTTGTGCTGGG